TTTTGGCTGCTGCATCATACTTCTGGGTCATATTTAAGTGATTGTCCACTAGGACTCCAAGATCCCTCTTGCAGTTATTGCTATTGCTCCAGTTTCTACCCATTCTATACCTGTACATTTGGTTTTTCTTGCCTAAATGTAAAACCTTACTTTTCTCACTATTGAATTTCATTTTTTAAGTTTGGGTATTGAGATGTTGTCAATCTTAATGAAACTCTTTTGTCCTCACATGAAATCAACAAATGTTTTGGTTGCTGAAACAAATCCTTCTCATATTATATAATGCTTGTTGCTCAGATTCTCTAAATGTTGGCTTTCATAGCCTTTTTTCTATTTGTTTTTTTTTAAATAAACTTTACTGTAAAACATTACAGTTTAAAAAATAAGAACCAATAAAAACTAAAAAAGAATATAAAAATAGTACAGAAAAGAAGGAAAAAATAAGAAAGGAAAGAAAGGAAAAAGAATATAGTAAATAAAAATAAAAGAAATACATAAAGAAATTACTTACCCCTTCATAACAAGTATAAACAATTTTAGTAACTTATCACCTTCTTTTAAAATGCAACACATCATCTCTTCCTCCTATATCTCACCTCATATATATATATAAACACATCCTTAAAGCCTTGTCATTCAGGCCTGGTCAGCAAAAGTCTATTAAGGGTTACCAGAGAAAACAACAATAACAACTTAAGAAGGCTAGAAATATCTAAATGTTGTGATATCATAAACTATATAAGTTTATTGCCATTTTTGAAAAATGAAAAACATGAACAATCTCCTCCTTATTGCAATTGATTATGATCACCACCAAAACTTATCAATTTCCGCCTTACACATATCTGCAGGCCAGATATGACAGTGGCCTCAAAAATGCATAATAAAGGTAGTCTCATTTTTTATATCGCCAATATAAGAGCAATCCCGCTCCTTCCTTCTGCACTACCATTTGAAAGAACGAAGCTTAGAACTGGAGACGTGATATTGGTACACATGCATGAAATATGGAGGAACACATGTGGGTCTATTCTCCTACATACTTGGATACATTTTTTGATTCAGGCAATGGTCTCTAGAAGAAATATATAAGTATCTCCATCCAATTATTTGCTCACTTGACATTATGCCCACCAATCATTGTAAGAGTGCCAGAATGGAAAGTAAAGAAACATTCCTCATTTCTCCCTGTTACTTAAACACCAGTTTTATTAATGACAATTAAATCCAAAGAGCTTTTTAAGATTTCATTTTTTTTCCTTAGAATTATGATTTTAGAAAGAAAATGTAAGCCTTAAGTTTCTTTGTAACTGCACAAAGACAGAGGAACAATGGAGAAGGAGAAAATCTATCACTGAAGGAACAGTTTTCAAATGCAACAGACACAGACAGCCGTGTTTATATGTAGTATATTTCTTATTGGCAGCTGAAAGTTTAAGCACAAAATAAAACAAAAATGGCCTGGTTCCCAAAAGTAATCAACAAGATACAAAACTCACTTAAATTAGGTGTAGATAATTTGGATTACAGGATGTTGTCAGACTATTTATATCATCTTTTTCTTGTGCTATTTTCACACAGTTGGGAACAGGTCCTAAACATACACAAACTTTTAAAGGTTTGTTAGATTACAGCTGAATCTAAACACTCTTGACATTTCCACATCTGAATACAGAAGCTATCCATTTTATGACATTCAGAGCTTGTACATAAAGTAATGTCCATAAATAGAAAAAAAAATAGAAGAAAATTGTAGCTATGACGCAGAGAACAAAGCTATGGAATTAAACAAGCAAAATATAAAAATAAAACAATATAAAGGAAGTGCGTGTAACTATATTCTGAGAGTAGAGAAAGTTGCAGGAAAAAAAACACATTTGCCAAAGTTACCAATCAATAAAGAAAGAAAAAAGCTCATGTCATGAGAATTTAGGTATATAGTAAAGTGGGGGTGGGGGAAGTTATTTATGTGCTTTTCTTTTCTGCAGTTAGAAATACGAATGGTACAATCCTGTTAATGTAACTTTACACCAGAGTAAAACTAGCTTGCTCTAACGCTTCCTATCTGGTCTACCTCACAAGGCTGATATTTAGCAACTGATACATTCCTAATACCACATTGGTGAAATATCTGTACAGATAACCAATAGTGGATCACCCTTCCAAACAAATATTTTCTGAAAAGGACCCTCAATCCTACTAGACACCAATGGCTACACTTGAGTATGCTTAGTGCTTCAGTCTAAAATGTGGGGAGAAATATGGCAAAACAATAGAATAGAACAGAATAGAACAGAATAGAATGGAATGGAATGGAATGGAATGGCAGAGTAGAGTAGAGTAGAGTGGAGTGGAGTGGAGTGGAGTGGAGTGGAGTGGAGGGGAGAGGAGAGGAGGGGAGGGGAGGGGAGGGGAGGGGAGGGGAGGGGAAGGGA